GTGAGTGTGTGTGTGTGGGTGTGTGGGTGTGGGTGTGGGTGTGTGCGTGGGTGTGTGGGTGTGTGTGCGTGTGCGTGTGTGTGAGTGTGTGTGTGTGTGTGTGTGTGTGCGTGCGCGCGCGCGCGTGTGTTTCTGCCTGTCAACACGATAACTCAAGAATGCGTACAAGGATTGTCAGGATTTTGGTCTCAAAATAACGTTGCTTGTTTACTGGGGATATTGAGAGGAACCTGCGCGTGCGAAACGTTTTTTTAGATGATACAAATACTGGATTATACTATGAAGAAAACTTTCATGTCTCTATGATCGAGTCTGAAGTAATGTGGTTTCTTTTTTGTAGGAGTTTAACACAACCGTATTGTCTAGGTGCATAGTTAGGACATGATCTAACGTAGTAGCTATTTCAAGAATCTCACTTCAATTCAACGCTTTATGGTCCTCCTGGTGTTTATTTAAGTCCTTTGTCTGCCTGTTTCACTGTTATTGCCTTATGACCCAAGGCACCCTGACTTTCTCTTGTTGGCCGTGAGAACTAGCTCCTTTCCTTCGCGAGTATGAGATCATAGTTTGCTTAGTGTTCTTTCTAGTTATTGACCACAACAACCTGCAACAGTTGAGACATCACATCACCCCTGCTAAAGATAGGCCTCAGAGATGTGTTTACCTGTTATGGTCTACGCTTGGTGTTTGTGGCTGGCCTTTACAGTGACCCTGTAACCTAAAACCATTCACTGGCGAGTGCGACGTACAGGGGAAAGAATGCGGACTGCCGACCATTCTTCTGTCACATTTACTAAGAGGTGCCATAAAAGGTAATACTATACAGTCTGATTAAATAGCGCCCCTAGCGGTCGTTTCAGGAATGGGACCGTCACTGCCCCGGACAGTGTGGGTTTGTGTCAGGTGTACACAGAGTCACAGACTAGTCGTCAAGTCAGCATGAAGAATAGAAGCAACATTGGAAGACCAACATCTTTTTGTTCTACAACATAGGATGTAGATTTGGATATTGTAATGAGTAGACATTAGAAATCTAATGATGATGATTAGAAATATATCGGAAATACACATTAGTCATCCAACAGCCAATCGATCGTTAGCTTGGAGGCATACAGGATACTCGGTGTCATACTCCCGTAGAACAAATATTTGTCTACACTGATAGGCCAATATATTTTATTGGACCTATCAGCATACACTTCCTGAAGGTTGCAGTTCTACTTCACTCCGCTAAGTAGTTCTGGCGTTTTTGTACGGCAGAGAGGACCACTACCTTTTCTCGATATGAATGGATGCTTCTTAAGCATGCTCCTACGTGTGTCTCTACATATGGGGGATGTCCCTATCCGACGAAAGTCTACTAATTTATCCTCAGCGAAGTGAGGAAATTGTTGTCGTTTCCAAAGAACAGAGCATCGATGTACACATGTGGGGGGGGGGGGGTTGAATCCAGAAACCTCTTGATTCCTGGTCACACACTCTAGCCTTTACGCCACACGACATCACTATACCTGGTGTCAGTCCATGTCCCTGGCGCTAAATAAGCAACAACATGACTGGTGTCCCTGTCCCTGGTGCTGAACAAGCAACAACATGACTCGTGTCCCTGTCCCTGGTGCTGAACAAGCAACAACATGACTGGTGTCTCTGTCCCTGGTGCTGAACAAGCAACAACATGACTGGTAACCCTGTCCCTGGTGCTGACTAGCCAACAACATGACTGGGTAACCCTGTCCCTGGTGCTGAACAAGAAACATGACTGGTGTCCCTGTCCCTGGTGCTGAACAAGCAACAACATGACTGGTGTCCCTGTCCCTGGTGCTGACTAGCCAACAACATGACTGGTAACCCTGTCCCTGAACAACCAATAACATGACTGGAAACCCTGTCCCTGGTGCTGAACAAGAAACAACATGACTGGTGACATTGTCCCTGGTGCTGAACAAGAAACAACATGACTGGTAACCCTGTCCCTGGTGCTGAACAAGCAAAAACATGACTGGTGACATTGTCCCTGGTACTGAACAAGAAACAACATGACTGGTGACCCTGTCCCTGGTGATGAACAAGAAACAACATGACTGGTAACCCTGTCCCTGGTGCTGAACAAGCAAAAACATGACTGGTGACATTGTCCCTGGTACTGAACAAGAAACAACATGACTGGTGACCCTGTCCCTGGTGATGAACAAGAAACAACATGACTGGTGACATTGTCCCTGGTGCTGAACAAGCAAAAACATGACTGGTAACCCTGTCCCTGGTGCTGAACAAGCAAAAACATGACTGGTGACATTGTCCCTGGTACTGAACAAGAAACAACATGACTGGTAACCCTGTCCCTGGTGCTGAACAAGCAAAAACATGACTGGTGTCCCTGTCCCTGGTACTGAACAAGCAAAAACATGACTGGTGACCCTGTCCCTGGTGCTGAACAAGAAACAACATGACT